CTCCCTTCTTACAGTCTGTCTTGTGTGTCCCACTTCATCTCCTGTATAATGGAAGTGGATGACAGCCACATTTGAAGTCAAGACATGAAAGACATCATTTACAAGTCAGTGTCTGCTCTCCTTCTGTGTGTCTTTCTCTCGCTCTTACACACACACACACACACACACACACACACACACACAATATATGACACAGTGCATACTGCAATGGACCAAAGCATCACTAATATCACAAAAAACACAACTATAAAATGGTTTCTTTCTTTAAAACCTGACTGCTATTCCAATATATATGATAAGATGTTTATGGACCTTTTTTTCAGTTGACAATTGTGACTATTTTTTGAGATTAGAACACCTGTTACAATAAATGCATAACCCATAATGTAATGTTAATGTTTACTGCCTAATGGAACATGCTATGAATGGATGTCACCGGTTAATAAGTCAAGGCAGCGCACGCTGAGTTACCTGTTTACACAACACGGTAGTGCTGACATTAAATGGGTGCAGATGTGTATGTAACAGAACATTACTACATTTATACTGCTCTTTTGTAACCTTTGAGGGCAGCTTCATTAGGTTTGAGATGACATTTCACTGTTTAGCTCACTAAGGAAAAGGGCTTCATAATTGTAATATAATGCTAATGCTTTATTTTCAGGGTCGGTCATTTCTGAAAAATCCTATTAAGTCCCAAGTTTCCTCAAATAAACTACATTTACATGCACTACTTATAGGGATAATGCTCACGACAGGCCAGTTACACTCAAATGTAAAATGTGTCAAAAAGGCAAGCATATTCCATATATATGAAGAATGTATAGTTTTCAATAATAGACGAATAAAGAATGGATATGTACTAATAATAAAGCTATAAAGCTTTTCTTTCAAGGAAATTCCAATTTACTCCCAAATAATCAATCATGCATTTCCAGAAAACTTCTTAGGAAAATATCAGCAAATTATTAGGAAATTACGGATCCATGATTTAATAAAGTGTCATCAAAATAATGAATCGTAAAAAGTAGATGATTTCGTGTTCCAAACTGCAATATTTAAAGCATTTTGACCTGGTGGTGTTAATAATAGGGGAAAGTCTGAATGCTGTTCAGAGGAAAGTCGATATTCTCGGTGAGGTTGCTTTTAGGAAATAAACACAATCATTGACAGTGACATCAGCTTGTCATCCACCTCCTGCAATAGAAGGAGTCTTTTTCATCCAATTACGAGAGACATAACCTGCCAGGTCTGATTGTGTTTCCGTAATCTCTGCAGTTCCTTGTCTCTGCATCTTACTGTACCCTGTGGCGTGCACAAGCGCCATGAGGGGTTAGAGTACAACCTGCACTGGCGTCAACCCTCTGCACCTTGTCTTGATGCCCTTGAGCGGTAATTGGTTGAATCCCTTCAGAATCTGACTTGAGGGCACAAAAATCCACAGCTCCCCAATCAGCTGGCTGTCAATCATTCTGCCAACTAAACTAAAGCCGGGGATAACTAACAGGCTCAGATTGGAATTTAGAGTTAGGGAGACATAAATCTTTCCGACAAGTTTGTGCTCGGCCAGGTACTCTTATAGGCACCAAATTGGATGATAGGGATGTTGCCAACATGGTGGTTAGGGGGAAGCCCAACATCCAATTTGGCTTTCAGAGAGACAGGATGTACAATTGTCTTGTTCCAGATATGTAAAAGTGACAACACTGAGACATCCCTAATAAGAATACTGAATAAATGTTTAGCTCTCGTTCATATATAAATCTAAACATATGGGATTTGGAGTCAAGTCTCTCTCTTATTACAGTATTTGTACCTAAAGAGGCACACAACACAATACCATATTTAACCGTTTACCGGTCCTCTCATCTGTTTGATAGAGCACATTCTGAATTGTGATATCTTAGTTGCACTTAAGTCAATCTTTGCTCTCTGTTCAAATATGTTTGACCATCAAAAAATTGCACTGTGGTTTTCAGAAACAGACCTTTTCAAGTGGCTCCATTTCTCCAGTTTGACATGTTGCCTGTGTGCATATAAAGATATGTAGACGTGCCTTTTATTCCACTTCTATAGAAAAAAATGTAGATGGTTGAAAATGCACGTTTGCTGTAAATGTAAATCTCTACCTTTTGGTAAATGCTCAGAGCTAAAAAAGAAAAAAGAAAAAAAGAACTTGTGTTGATTATTATATAAAATATGAAAATAGATCACTTTCCTTTTTTTTCTGGGTGGGACAAAGATATTCTCCAAAATGGCAGAACAATATCCAGCGCTGCTTCTCAGAACATTAATAAAGAGCGATTTATTTTCTCTTGAATGCGTGAATATCTTGTGTTTCTTGAGCACAACAACAGTAGAGAGAAGCCTTGTGAGAAATCATCCTATAAGCCATTAAGTCCCACATTCGATCCTCATGACCCCCGGTGTCCACCGTGAAGAAGTGTCCTTTTAATCACAACTCTAAATCACTGGGTCCACGAGTGGCTGACCCTGCCATCTGACCTTCCTGGTGAAGGGAGGCAGGTGGAAACACAACGGGGATCTATAGATAATTAGTAAGTTCACAAGGCATTTTGCTGCCGTTGGTTGATCACAGCAGAAGAACAGCAGTCGACGGTAATCAATGATGATCAATACAGCAAAATAATGATTCGCACAACACAATCGTTCTTACACCTAATGGGGACTCTCGCTATTTTTAAAGTAAACGATGGTAGCACGAGCACAAATTTTACCTTTATTTATTTATTGAACATACTGAATGTTTTACAAATGCCTCATACTGTGCCACGTCCAGGGAGGACCAGCTGTTTCTCAGTAAATTATGGTACGGTTTAGAGTAAAATAGACCATAAAGCAGGGTGTGCTTTAGGGCGTGGCTACCTTGTGATTGACAGGTCTCAACCACGGTGTTGTCTGGTCTGAGAGTGTTTTTGTCTTACAACTTTAACTCTTTTACAGTGTGTTTTCAATTCATGAAAGTTAATCGTAACATTTTGTTCAGCGTTCGGTCGAACTAAGCTCCAACCTCCCGTGTCACTTCTGGTTGCCAAAAGCTAAGTTGGCAACGGGCAAAAACCAAAATATGGCGACGATAAAAATGCTGAACTCCAGGCTTCAAAGCGGCTGTCCACAAACCAACGGGTGACGTCATGTAACTACGTCCACTTCTTACCTACAGTCTATGGGCAATACACCCAAGAGATGCTCAGATATTTCAGTCTGGATCAAAGTGGTGGACTGACAGACAGACAGATCGACCCTCGAGACATGCCGCTGGCGTGACTAAAAAGCTGTAGAAGAATGGATTAACTGGATCACATTTGGACCAAACGTTGTACATCATTTTAATCCAGCGTTCGAGGCAGTTTACACCATCTCCGCCTGGCATCATGCAGTAGACTCACGCTGAGCACCACTCACTCACACACTCATTAAAATTCAGATTGATCAACTCTATCCCATATTTCATTTCTGCTCTGGTGGGAGCGTCGTCACAAAGCACAAGTGGCCTTCCAGTTGTCTGATGAGCATGATAATTATTTCCACCATATGCCAAGGCTTTCCAAAGCACCTGATCTGAACCCAACATCAGGCAGCGATGGACTCGAGCAGAAGACACTGTTTGCCACTGACAAACCATCTTTATTGATATTCTCTTTATTCATTATTTGCTCCTTTATCTCTCGCTGTTTGCCTCTTTTTTTTCTGTCATTCTCCTCTTTGCCATTCCTTCAACCGACTCCCAGTTCCCTCTCTCGCCCCCAACCCCCACCCCTATCCCGCTCACTTGATTATGTTGAGCCAGAGTCGGGGAAAGTGTCACTATGGAAACAGGGGCAGAGGCAGCAGAGGGCTCTCTATGGGAGAGAGGGAAAAAGAGATGGAGGGAGAAAGAGAGAAAAGGACTGATAACTGGCCAGTGCTGAGGAATCCACGAGTGGTCATCTGACTCAGAAAGATAACGAATGAATCCTATTCACCAGTCAGTGGTGGAAACACACAGCTGAGTGATATCATTTAATTCAACGCACCTTACTGAGCCATAAGAGCCTCTCTTTTTCCTTTCAGCATTCATAAATCCACTTGTTTGTTTTCACGTAGACAGTGGGAAAGCTATGAGTAATGCACCAGATGTGATGAGATATAATCACTGGATGTACGAAACATGAGCAACAGCCTTTTGATATTGGGTGTCGGCCCCTTTTGCTAATCTTCAGGCTGTATGAATTATGTGAAATCTTTAAAATAATTCACTAACTCAACTGCTTGTCTCGATCTACATCACTCCCTCTGAGATTTGTATCATTTTAATAAGGGAAACCAATGAATAATGGAGGCTTCTGCTTAAGATTTACCTCATACATGCAATAAGCGAGCAACACTGGACCACCTTTTGAGTCCGCAATAGCGCTGAAACCATCAATCCATCTAAAAATGTTTTTTGATGTTTAGTTTTTCAAATCTGTGAATTTGCTGTTTTTCTTTATCATATTTGAGTCTATATTTTAGAGTTTTGGACTGTTGGTTGCATAAAACAAGCATGTGCATACGTCAAGTTGAACTTGGTAATAATGGGCATCTTTCCATTTTTTCTGACCTTTTATCGACAAAACAATCGTTTGATTGGAAATAATCAGATAGTGAAAATCATTGTTAGTTAAAACTGCAGTCTACTGTGCAATATAACATTCTGTAATGTCATCACAGATTTAGCATTTTCTGATCCATGGAATACAGAAAACTCACATTACCTAATGTTTAAAACAATAACTTTATGTTCACATTAAAGCAAAAAAAGCAAAACTAATTTTGTGGAAAAACTAACGATGAAAGACTTGGTTTCCTTTGTCAGCCTTGAGTTTGAGGAACAGGGTGGTGGAGGAGAGACGAGAGACGGGAGGGAGCAGGTTATAGGAAAGGGGAGGAGTAAAAAGAGGAGGGGGAGCAGCATGCGAGGGAGGTATGATAGTGAGAGGGGCTGAGACAGTGGCAGAGCGAGCCAGAGGTAGGGAGGAGGCAGCGAAGGAGGCAGCTCTCCTCCTGAGTCTCCATCCCAGAGAAGACAGAGAGGAAGAAGACCGAGAGAAATCGACAGTCCCGCTTCGCTGCAGCATCCCATTAGCTCCTGAAGTTAAAACCAAGACGTCCACTGTGAGGTACGTTATACTGTCTACTTTGTGGCTCTCCTCCTTTCATCCCTCTCCCTGTCTTTATCAGGACTGTGGACCAGCAGCAGTCAGGCGCTGGGTTTTAAGTAGTGCATGCGCAAAGATCCTGCTGAGGCTTTTCAGCAGCAGGTTGCTCTGTGTGTGTGTGTGTGTGTGTGTGTGTGTGTGTGTGTGTGTGTGGATATGTGTGTGTGAGTACATGGAGCAAAACAGGGTCTGATTTATCGAAATGTCAGCAGAGATTCTGCTGAGATGTGGTTTCTTTGACATTTGAAGACTGATAACATTTCATGCAATCAGACTATTTCTGAGCACAGTGTGACCTGATGTTATAAAGGACACTAATCACCTCAGAAACTTGGCACCGGTGTTTCTATTCTTCTCTTCCTTTTACTCACAGTTGGTGTGAAGGTCAGAACACATCACTGAGAGTCTAAAAATTTGAAACTTTTCATGTGCCGTTCTCACCAAAGCTTGTTGTAACTCCCATATTTTGATAGGCGTGAGATTTTACGGTTTTCAACTCGTTTAAAAACGGTCACATCAATCATTTGCACAAATGCACACTTATTTGTGATAATTTCCTTTTGGATTCTCTCAGAATTTCCTCCATATCAGTTTATAAATCTGCTCTTGTGATCTTGATCTATTGTCGAAAACCAGATCTTTGTACGATTCCTTAACTATGAAGAAATAATGAATAAATCCACTCATGCAACTGCAGTCATTGGAATACATTTAGAAATGTGACAATCATCTAAAACCCCATTTGATGTACTGGCTCTGCAGCTAACAGACTGTTTCTCTGACCTAAGTCTGCCTGAGTATCTGTCAACCACTCTCTTCATTAGTGCCATTAAGGGTGGTCTAATGTTATCAGGCACATTGGCGGTATTGATCTGCTAACCTGTTCCCAGGGGGGCAATGGACAAGCTCCAAGTCTTCATTTTTAACTGTGCTCTTCATATGCAGCATATACCATTTCAGAACAGAGCGGAGGATTATTGAGTGGACTAGCGCAGGGTCCGTATTTGTGCAGATGTCATGATGTCATACTAACTGGACCCTCTCCATCCTGGCTGCACAGTAGAAAATGTCTTAATATTAGAGAGGAAGTGAACTGTCCCGTAATAACACTGAAGTACGGTCGTTATTTGTGCTTTATACGGATGATTTCAAGTACAAGTCAAGAACTGCGCAGAGCCTTTGTTTTTCAGTGCAGTAGCAGTGCTTTGGCTGCATAACATATGATGTCATGTCTTGTTGGCTGCTCCTACAAATTTTTCAGCAAATTATTGTTTATAATAAATGAAGAGAATGTTGATTATACTGTTTAACATTAATTGAAAACCAGAATTGCATTTGGTTCTGTTGGCTATTTGTGGGACTGACTAATTATTCCTGATTTCAACAAGTATTAATTAATGTCATTTCCATAATATCCGCAGCCTCGTGGAAGCAAATAAGAGCTTTTTACCAAGCTTTTCACCGCTGCAGTATAATTCAGTATTAGTATTCCTATCCTGTTAGAGAAAGAAGCTCATTATTCATTTTCAGTGTGAATCATTCTTTGTGTACTCGTAGCTCAAACAGTGTTTATTTACTTGTTTGGTCTATGACGATCAGGGATGGTGTGTTTTGAATAATACCTGTTGATAAGACCATTAAGTCCAAGATCCTTCATGAGTTGACTGAGATGATATAATAATGTGATAATTGTGATATTCGGCCCATCTTTTTACAGATTGCAGACATTATCCTTCCACTTATTAATTGTATGATTGAGGATTAACACACATAGTTTTAATACCAGGGCTGCAACTAACAATTGTTAGTATTTTCATTTATCTGCAGATTATTTTCTTGATAAAACGATTCATCTTTTAGTCAATAAAATGTCAGAAAATAGGGAAGATGTTCATTATAAGTTTACAGCTCTCGAGCTGTTGTCTGACCAATCATCCAAACCCACAGATATTCGGTTTACTATCACAGGAGACCTTAAAAAAAACAACGCCAATATTGGCAATTGAGAGGAACTCAATGTTAGGCACTTTTGCTTAGAAAATTACCATATAATTAATTGATTTATTCAATCAACTGGTCTTTTTTCAGCACGATATTTTACAGAGCATACCATAAAGTAGGTATAAGCACGGTGCACTGGCAATTGTTGCAGTGGTGAGGTCAGACTGTGCTAAGTAGTAGATGCATGTATTCATGTGCCTGTGGGCAGCATCTGTGTACGTGCAGATGTGCGTGTGGATGGCAAAGAAAGTATATGGAGATCAATGCAAGCAGCTGTTCTCTCTGCACTTCAAACGTTGCTCTGTTGTTGGCGCATCAGCGCTCCGACAGGCCTCGCGCAAGGGGATCAAAGGCTAATGAGACAGCCATCGCACAAACGCACCCGGCAGACCCATGAATATTGATACGGCTCAGGAGAGAGATGGAGGCAGGGTGTCTTCACCCGCTCAACAGCCAGCCCGATGAATTAAAGAGGGGGAGGAGGGGTGCAACTGTATGCTGGAAAGACTTTGGGGTTTATGATATTGCCAGAATGTGTGGTCACTGCTTAACAGGCTGACAGTTCTCACTGAGGTTTTGAATAACTAATGATCGTGTTGAGCTTTTTTAAAGGCCTTGGCAGAGGGTTTCAGTCAAGTCAAGTCAGCCAAAAGATGAATTGATTATTTTAAGAATTAACTGCTGCTTGTTTGTTGATTATTTGATAATGAAAATAATTGTTAATTGCAGCCATAGTCAAATAAGGTCTGAAGTAATGCACAAGCCTGCAAATCTGAGATAGATATACAAAAGCATCTTTCGTCTTTGTTTACCATACAATATTTCTCTTTGACATTTCTGTGAACTAAGCTATACTGCAGTCGGTAAGCGAATCGTGCCGAGTCTGTACCATCAGAATATTTGCCTTCCTCTCTGCCCGGTGTCTGCTACGACAGATAGTGTGCGGGTGTGCGATTGCCTGAAGGTGATTGTGCCATTGTGTTTCTTGCAGGGCGGTTGTATAACAGCACAGTTAACCTGCTGAATGTCACCAGTTTGTTTCTCCCAGTGGTCGAGGGCTACATGACATGTTACAATTAACACTTTCTCATCCATTATCTATCTTAACGTTGACAAGCATCACCCCCAGTCTGGCCAAGGACTTCACTTTAAAGAGAGAAATGTTTTATTCTGGGTGGTATGTCATTTCAGCCCATTTTAGCTGTCGACAGGCAGGCAATAGACACAGGAAGGAGGACAAGTACAGCGGCAGGCAGGCAGGCCAGCAGGCGAGGATGGGGAGACTGATGCGGCAGGAAGGCCGTCCACAGTACGTGGGCGACTGTGCCTCTATCCTGACTTGGGCTCGTAAATCAAGCCTTCCCTCCGGGGGCCTATCTTCCATTCTCAGACCTTCACAACAGCTTGTTCTCCAGCCTGTGACGAGAGGAGCTGTTGTCACAGCAGCTATCGATCGTATGGGATGAGTTTGTCACACCAGGGGATTTCACCCATCTGAGCGTGGTCACTGGAGTGTCCCGTCTTGTCTCTGTGTCTGTCTGTGGGCTACATGTTCCGTCTTTCAGCCGAGTCACTACTAGCTATCTGTCAGCTGCATCTCACAGAGTTTCTTTCCAAAATGAAATCTCTGAGATTTTAAACAAGTGATTCACAAACGTAAAAGAAGTATTGGAGACTAAGACTAGACCTGGATTAGAGACTGGATCCATTAAATGTAATGACTTGAGTCTGTTAGAACTGCTGGCGACTCATCCAAGGTGTTTCCCTGCCTTTCATCCAGTGCATGCTGGGATTGTTTCCAGACACAAGTGACACTAAACATAAAAAAGTTGGTGCAGATATTTAAATTTAAAGGAACAGTTTGGGATTGATACCACTCTCATGTTTGTTACTGCAGGCGGCTGGTTAGCTTAGCTTAGCATAAAGACTACAAATGAAGGGGGACTGCTAGCCTGGGTTTGTTCACCAGTATCCCTAAACCTAATTAATATATTATATGTTGTTTATTTAATTCAAAGAAAAACAAAGTGTAAAACACCAAATTGTGTTTTTACGTTCTTGGCCGGAGTATTAAGGCAACCAGCTGTGACTCCAGGAATTATTTTTTATACTTTGGTTTGAGTATGGAACATTTTGTGTAAACAAACAAGATATTCAAAGTGTTATTTTTTAAGACAGGTTTTGTTACCTTTGGATCTAACCAGACTAGCTTCCCGCTAGTGTCCAGTCTTTCGGCGAAGCTAAGCTAACCTGCTGCTGGCTGTAGAGCTTCATATTTACAGAATAGATATGATAATGTAATCATCTTCTCATGTTAACTGTGGCAAGACCGCAAATAAGCATATTTCCATTTTAAGCACATTATATGCACATTATTCTTAAAACAGTTTTTTTATTTTTATTAATGCAAACAAAATGATTTCAGTAGCAAAAAATGACAAAAGATCAAACACACCTCCAGTATGTTTGTGGTAACAGGCGCATTAATCATATTACATTCTTCACTCAGAGGATTATTTGTAGTTTAATCTCCCTGGATCTGTTGTTTACTATGCTACACCACAGTGCATATGCAAATGCTTTTTGGCTGATGTTCAGGTACCAGAGAATATGTTTACAAAGTGCTACAACATTAGCATTAATCAAAGCAAACCCAATGCAGAGAGGTGAATAATTCTCATTATTTGCAGATTCTTTCATCTATTTGACTTATATTCATACATGACTAGACTGACAAGATGTTTTACTGGATGAGAAACCAAATTCAAATCAATTGCAAATTACATTTTTTGTTAAAAAAAAAAGCAAAGTTTAACCCTGCGCAGTAATGGATTTCCAATAATAGTACAAGTCAGACTTTAAAACTAAGTAGTTAAATTATTCACCGGCGCTCATTCCACCCTTTAAAAGCCAATTAGGTGAACGTTTCATGGAAATCAGCCACAGTATTTTATCTCCTGATGTCCTTTGAATTTGAGAGGGAATAAATTACACAGATTTGACAGCTCCAAAATGAAAGAGCCCAATCCATCTGACACTCCTGTCGGGTAAATACTTAACAAGATAAAATCCCCTTTTATTTATTTTCCACATAATCTTTCTTTTGCTTCATTTATAGTTACAGTGAGTAGCAACACATATTTGACACACTAATATCTGATTTATAGCATGAAAAGATGTCGTTTAAATTATAAAAGACAACAAAGAAAGTTTAATGTGGAACAAGAAAAGTTATTTTACACAGCAACCCTCTCAACCTAGTGACAGAGAATGATTTTTTAAACAAAAATGAATTTTAATAACACCAGTCTAAGGAAGTGGTATGGAGAGGAAAACGATCACAGCGGCAATATTGTGCCACCGTGTCACCAGTGCCTCCTCGTTATTTGTCCTCAGGCAGTTTCAAAGCATTTCTTCATCTTGTTTCCTCACCCTGAAAGCCTAGTTTGTGAAACTCCACCAGCGCTGCACACAAGAGCACTCCCACTCAACCTCCCAGCCTGCTGAGAGCACTTGAAAGCAATTTTCTTTTAATCAAGTTCACTATAAAGGCCCCTCTGATGCCAACCTCAGCAACACTACCATTTTGTTTTGTTTTTTTCAGCTTCAACTCTCTCTACATTATATTGATTTCTCCATGAGCGGTATGAAACCCTGTTTACTGATGTAATGAGAATTCTAATGAGTTGTTTTGCTCTTTCAGGACAGATAGGTGCGCTTAAGTTGACTCCTCGTTTTTCAAATATCCGCATCTACTTCTGGGCAACAAGCATTTTTAAACAGAACCAGTGTTGCAGCACTGCAGGTCCATGACCCTTATCTTGACATTGTTTTCTACATTAATTAGTCACATTATATACATGTTCAGATCTTTACTTAAGTAACAGCACATATCAAAATACATTATAAGTACAGTAAAAGTCCTGAATTTAATATCTTACTTAAAGTACAGAAGTATTACCAGGAAAATGCACTTTTAGTTGACATTATGAACGAGTACTTTTTAAAACTAACGATTATTTTCAGCATCAATTAACTTGCCAATTATTTCCTGGACTAATTGATTAATTATATTTACAAAATGACAAAAAGTAGAGAAAAACACCCATGACGTTCCACAGCCCTATAAGTGACATGTTAAAACAGCTTGATTTGTCTGACCATCAATCCAAAACTCAACAGTATTTCATAACTATCGTATGACAAAGAAAAGCATCAAATGTTCACATTTGAGAAGATAAAAACAGATTCTTTTGTTTTCGAGCTTTTGCTTGAAAAATACCTCCAAATTGTTATTCATTAAATGCTCTTCGGTACATTCTATGACTTGATTAAACCTTGTTCTTTTTGAGACAGGTTGGATTTTTTTTCACCTCTTGCACTGCCTAATGTCCTCAGGCAAAGACGTTTCTGCTGTATCATATTAGTGACAAACATATTTCATAACCAGTTAGGAGTCACTGACCTTGAGAGCGATGCTCTGAAGTGGATATGCATGATGCCCTCTTGTTAATTCAGGGAGTGTCTCAACAAGAGCCCCTTGTTTGATACATTGTGACTGCAGACATATACTGTATAGCTAACACAACAATGCTGCATTGAGGTGTGAAAATACATGTGAAGTCAACAGAATACAGGTCAATGACTTTTCATAATTAATTTTAAACTTGAAAAGAATTAAAAGTATCAGACCAGAAGTGTGGCAGCTGTTGCCCTTCATGTTAAAGATTCTAGCACTCCTTTCAGGCAAATCAGTGTATTTTTCTTAGACTTTTTCAGCCACATGGAGGCAGTAGAAACAAGCCATTGACATGTGATCACCCTTCAAGTTGATATATCAATCGTGTTAGCAGACAGCTCCCTATATACACATCCAGCAGACCACATTAGCATTCATTTGGAGTCGTGTTTCCTGTAAGTCCAATACTCACTCTGCTTTTAGCTCTACTTTTGGTCTCCACCAACTTCTGAAAGAACATCTCAGACTCTTCAGCTGCAAAATGCTTCACTGCATTCACTAGCTAATGGATGCTGAATACAAAACAGTAGACTAGCTCATAGTCTACCCAAACATTAGGGACAAATGTTTGTACAAACTCATCGTTTTGTTTGGCTAGAATGACATGAATGACACTGAATTTCTTGCCGTTTTCCTTTGTACATCCGTCTTCAGGTCAAGAGGACACGTTTTGCCATGAAGACTGTTGGCTGTGACTGAACCTCAGAAGACTCAACACAGAGGTGAGCATTACTAGCTACTCTTACTGTCTCCTGTCAAAGATTAATAGCAAAGATCCTTGAAATGATGGATGGTAACCCAAAGTTTAGATCAGCGTTCTGGTCATGGCTTTAAGGTTTCATGGCTTTAAACATGATCGACTGCAGAAGAAACAGAATGAAATGCTAAATCCTAAAAGATTTCAGTCCTTGTTGATTTAGAGATAGCAAGCGTGATATGCTATAGCCTACAGCGGACACTAAAAAACACTACAGAAGAGTAGCTGGTGTATTAGCTTACAGCAAAACTCGTGTCGTTTTAATAAAAAGGTAATTCAATAGAAACTGTAGCCACATCTGATTTCATGCTGCACACGGTGGATGTATTTTTCAGCACAACAGCAGGACAGACCAAACTTGGTTATTTTGCTGAGGAGTTGGAGGTTTACTGTGGCTGCGCCCTCTTTCATTAGTCCCTGAAATATACTGTATATCAAACTGACCTCCCAAAATAATGCAACAAAATGTCTTGAGTTGTTGACACCATTTTTAATTAATGTCGGCGGTTACCACCAAGCACATTGACAAACACACTGCGTTTCCATGTCTGCTTGACAATAAAAGCCACCACATGTTTAACCAGTTGAACACTGTAAATGTGAAGCGTAGGCAGCAGCAAATGTTCAGTTTTTATTAGCAATGAAGACTACTAATAGAGGTAATGACATATTAATGTACAGAACACAAATGATGTCTACAACCTGATTTGATTTCATGAAATGTATAACTTTAAGATGAATAATGCATCTACTGTTCATTGACTGTATATTTGGAAACACTACAGTGCATGGATGATTGGGAGAAAGTCAACCAACCAAGTGAAAAAGGTCAGAAACTCAGAGAATGGCGATCAATACTCCACAACAGTAATCCTCACCCAGGACTTAGCTGGACTGTTCTTTCTATGAATTTTCAAGTGGTTACACATGTAACCATCAGAGAAGCTGCACATTTCACGTCCTTCTTTCACTCCCCTGCTGCTGAATTGATTCCCAAGAGGAAACCCTGTAGAGCCCATACAGGATTGAAGCCGTATAGTCAGATTTTTACACTGAGACCTTCAGCAAAGTGACTTCTGCCTGCAGAGACTCAGACTGCAGAAATAATCACTATTTCCTACATTATATAGCCTTTATAGACGAAAGTAGGCATTTTTATTGAAACACCGTTGTTAACTCTGAATCAACTAAACAGTAATGTGTGTTTTTAAATTAAAAAAATATGAACTGCAATAGAAAGGAAACGTTCACTTGATTTAATGTGCAAATACAAATTAAAGTAAATTCTAACACTCCATACGTACGTCACATAAAAAGTTTTTAAAAATGGAAACACTCACATAGAAAATGGTTAAAATGGCTAAGACATATATAATCTAATTATCTAATCAGGGGGTAATAGTTTAAGCAGAACTCTTGTCCCATAGATCAAGTATGGAAATTACATCCTACCCAGCTGCCTAATGTGTTTTAATGAAACCTCCAAAAGAACCACTTTAAACTGGTGGCACAAAAGTACTTTCACCAATAAAAATGAAAAATGAAGCCCTGAAACATCTATTAGATATTAAAGTGCATTCCTTGTGCAGCAGAACTTTGTGAAAATGTGAATCTAAGTGAAAACAGAATAAAAGCTCAGACATTAATAGGTACGCTCCCTTGACTTTTCCTATTTTCAGCTCCAATCTTCTGTATCAATTTTCTATTTTCTGTGGCCCAGTTTATATTCAAGGGAAAAGCTGCAGCGCTGCAAAAACCCAAGGTGATTACTCGCACTATCTGTTCGTATTTTCCTGTTGAAATGATGACGATATCCTGAGCGCAGGTTGTGCAACAATAATGCAGAGTTGTGCTGAGTTCACCTTCCAATCAGTGTTAACGAGAAGTCTATATACAGTTACAGTGTGCATTCAGGCAGCACACATATCTGCAGCTAAAGAAGCACAGTATAGAGGAGCAGTGAGTGTCCAGCAGTGCTCTGGGCAATCCACCTTGAGGCAGTTATACAGGAAAGGAGTATGTGACTGGAATGGAGTATTTGCATTCCAGGACACGAGCTTAAATCATGTGTTTTGTATCAGTTTTAATGATGGTACCCTCACTAAACTCAGGTTGCGTCGTATCAACGCTGACCCTCATGGGCTGAATTCTGGTGACACCTTCCAATCTGTGTTAATGAGCTGACTCCACTCCGTCTACGGGTCATGGTGATATTTACAGAAACCGTTGTAGCGGCAGATATCCACGCCTCCCCATGGCGCTCCCTTGCCTCATTTGCATAGCTTTCAGACTTCCCTTTCTCGCTCTCCCTCTTTCCCCCGCTCTCGTTGTGCTCCACCGTGATCGACAGGCTCCTTCGCACTTCTCTTCAGTTTGTGTCGCACATGTTAATTAAAGCCTCTAATTAGCTTCCCCCACTAAAAGGCCGCATTAAATCAGAGTTGGAATGGCAAATGATTCCTGGCATTAGCATAATTGTGTTTTTGAAGTGTAAAGATTTGGGCATTAGGGATGCTAGCATGCGTTTTTGTTTCAGTGATTTGTTGTGTTTGGGGTTCAGGTCCTAAGGGGCCGCTGGATGTTGGCTGTGTGGGTTTAGGGGCCCCAGGACCCTACAGGGCCTACACACTAATGAGGCCTGCTCCTCTCTGATGGAGCAGATACAGGAAAAACAAACCTGTGATGTGGCACCCTCGGGTGGTCCTGAGAGACTGGCAGAGCGGAACAGGACGCTGGTGGAGTGTGTGTATGTGCGTGTGTGTGTGTGTGACAGAGAGCGGAGACTAAAGGGAGATAAAGTTATGACTATTTTCATTATTATTGTCAGAGAGTTGCGAGTCTTTTGCCCAATGCATGCTGGGATTGGCTTAAAGCCCCAGTGACACTGAACAGGCAAAGATGGAATATAGATTAATTGACGGAATGGTCGACTAATGTAATGATCAATGTTTTCATATAGGGCCGCGTAAAAAAGTTCGTAATAAAATGATTTGTAATTGAATGTACAGGTTGTTAATATTGTATAAAAATACTTTAAGGCCTTATATTACTTGTTCACAGTCAAAATATGAATATGTCGCCGGGATTTGTGTTACCGGCCATTCTCTGCATAGACCGACAGATATGTTTATGTGTGAACTAATTCAAGCCTAAATATCCTTATATATGTCCATCAGCTGTATTGAGACGTTTCCGTCCAGGTGGAACAATTATTTTCAAAATCGAACCCCTTGCTGGCGTTGGTGAACACACAGAGACTCTCATGCCCGGGTCATGTCCTCTATTACATTGTGATAAACCTGGTGACTGGTGATTGTGTGTACATCCTCAGCTGTCAAACATGACTAAAGCTGTCACCATTCCACGAAGCACGCCTCGGGGTAGACATGATGTACTTTTCAGGAACATCCTCTGGGCGAACTAGCTCACTGACTATGGCTAAATTATTCAGGGTGAACTTGTCTTAAGGCACAGTGGTGGAACAGTGACAGTTTGGGGGTTGTGTGATAGCTGAGAGTGTTGTCATATGAGTTATTATTGAAGCACCCAGATATGCATTCGATTCCCGCTCCAGCCTAGAATCTGCTTCAGGCATGAAAAGCAATTAAAATGCATTGGAGGAAGTATAGTTGAAGAAATGATGTGAGGAGGAAGAGGGTGCCTACTTTTAATTTGATTAATTCTAATTAAATGATTTTTGTGCCAGTATTCAAATAATTTCTGTTCCTTTTAAAAAACTACAGTTGATTACATAATGACATACTGCCATGTTCCTGAGCTGGCACATGAAATTAAGTGGAATGATTTGTTTTTAATGGCACAAAAGCGCAGCAATCTGTGTTTTTAAGTGTGAGAGAGGAAGAGAGAGGCAGAAAAACCGAAGGAAGGAAGAGGAGGCTACTGTGGTGATTAGTGGTCCATCTTGCGATGACAGCAGGTGTAAAATTATAAACTATTGCCAAAGTTTGAAACGTAAATATAATAATTCAAAGAAAATACATGATTCAATATCATTAATGAATTGAAACCAGGGTCTACAGCCATCCTAGTAGCACTGTGAGACCGTGCATAGGCACGCCAGTGTTTTGAGCTAATTGCTAATGCCAAAATGCTAATATGCGCACAATAACAATGCTAACATGCAGATGTTTAGCAGGTGTAATGTTTATGTTCATGTTCACCATCTTAGTTTGTCGTGTTAGCAAGCTAACATTTGCTAATTGGCACTAAACACAAGTACAGCAAAGGAATGTTATTAGATTTGTAGGTATTTGGACATAAACGAGACATTCAAAATTTGGACCTGATGATGGCGTTAGATGAAAAGTCAGAGGATCCCCAAAGTTTTTCACAATTCATCCTGAGTGGGACACCAATGTATGTACAAAATTTCATGGCAATCTTTGAAACACAATTTAAGTCTGGATCAAAGTGTTGCACCGAACAACCTAGAGATTGGTATTGGTATTGCCATCCATAAAGTATAAATAATGTTGAATTTTGCCTCTGGAAAGTCAAATTATACAATACAAAAACATTTAATGAATGAATGATTTGCTATAAGAACACTCGTGTTCTGCCATACTTCTCTGACACAGACAAGGTTCAAGCATGAGTGTCACACAATCAAAGGTCTGTGTTTCAACATTAGATCATTAGACTTTAAATGAACCATGGTGTGCTTACAGGTGTGTGTTTATGAGCCGTGTTGCAGCAGCTCGGAAAGTGACTCAGCAGACCAGAACTGAGGACAATTCAATAACCAGATTTTTTTTTAACTTATCACATCGCAAGCCTGCTCTATTTCTGTGCTTTTGATAGAAATATAACCTATACAACAAAAGAAAAATCTCATTACCAGAAGTTCACCCTATAGGTCGGTACTGATTATAAATTATCAATCAAGGACTAGTGGCCTTTAAAGGTGCTCTCATTTATTTTGTGCCACTAATTCTATATTGACTA